CACTCATCACACTCCGTCCATCACTCATCACACTCCGTCCATCACTCATCACACTCCGTCCATCACTCATCAACACACGGAGCTCGTGTCCGACATCAGGAGGCTCCTCCCTCTATCACACAATCACACCAGTAACCTGAACACTGTCACACTCCTGTTTCACAACAAGATTCAAACAGTGGTTCCACCCACAACAAAGAATTGAGAATGGATTCTCTTTTACTACACGTACGACTTCATACTACATACTACATGCTACATGCAACATACTTCATACTTCATACATTCCACGTACTTACAGTTCATGTAGGATGTTGTCTTTTTCTCGTTTGTTTTCTTTTACACTTGATTTGCTTCCTCTACAGTTGCACGATGTGTAAACGTGGACATTCTCTACGTCAGCCTGTTTTTTTTGCATTGATGTGTGTTTCGTTAGCGTGACGCGTGACGCGTGACGGGCTGCTTGTTTTTCCTGCAGGGGGCCAAAGGTGAGACGGGACCTGACGGTGAGACGGTGAGTTCTCTTAACAAAACTGTCAACATGGTGTTAAGATCAGAGAAGAAGAAGAAGGGAAGAGTGTTGTAATAAAATATGTTTTGTTATTGTAGGAATCATTAGCAGCCGTCTTTAAATCTTAAATATTTCCCGTCTCCCGTCTTTTTCTCTCGTCTTTCACTTTTACAAGTGATCGCAGCGACTGGAGGACTCAGTCAGCTGCTGCTGTTGTTTTTATGAACGTCCTCACAGCCACTGTGTTTTTTCTGCCGCAGGGTGCACGAGGAAAGAAGGGCATTAAAGGAGGAAAAGGCCAGAAGGTAATTCTATTTGTTTACAGTCAGATGAAGTGATTGTACGTACGCCACGCTTCATTTTACTTCCTCTTTCAACACCTGCTGGACATTCACTGAATTCACTCCTCCTCTTCTCGTCTTTCAGGGAAGCGTGGGCGACCGTGGAGACAAAGGACAGGTTGTTATCTATTAATTACAATTTTAGGCCCTGACGTCACACAGATGCACACAAACGCTCCAGGTAGTTAAGGAAGGAAGGAAGGACTATGACGGAGGTGAATAACAAACGTTGGTGGCAGCAGAAGGAAGAATAAATGGTTTGGTTGTGTCACACAGTGTAAACAGTCAGCAGTGTACAAGAGACACGCTCCTTTTCAATATGTCCAGACTCTAATTCAGAAATGTTTCTTCCTCCTCCTCTCGTCCATCTCCTCCGTCAGCGTGGACCGAAAGGTGCAGTTGGTCGTGACGGGGTCCCCGGGCCCGTGGGTCCGCCCGGCCTCCCAGGGACCAGAGGAGAACGCGGTCTGATCGGCGACGTGGGTGTTAAGGGCCGAGTAGGAACTAAAGGAGTCCGAGGTCCTTCTGTGAGTCTGCAGTCTCTGTCCTTCATGTGGTTCCTCATCTGCTCGAGGTCCCTTCTTCGAAACCTGCAAATCCCTCAAACCCCCTACAACCTTCAAAACTTTTAAAACTTTAAACCTGATGTTTCCACTTTTATCAACAAGAAGGAATCTTCTGTGTCCCGCAGGGTCCCAGTCTGACTGATGAGCAGGTCCTTCAGCTCTGCCGAGGTGTGGTCACGGCCCAGATCTCCCAGTACGCTGCGTCCATTCGGGCAAAGTGCTCCCAGGGCTGCCCCATCAACAACCGGACACTCATTGGGCCCCCGGGAGTCCGAGGGCTGGCAGGAGCACCAGGCAAACCTGTAGGTCCCACTCCTGCCTCAGAGTTGTGACGATGGAGGGTCGCTAGTTAAATTCTCTGTCAGAAGAATGTTCTAAAGAATGTTTTGGATTCTCCCTCGTAATCAAACACTCACCTGGATTTTCAGAAATAAACTTTGACAGTTTGTAACAATTTCTTTGCTGAAATATGTAAAAACTTTAAAAATGTCTAACAATGAGAAAGTACAAGTTTATTCCTGAGGATAAATATTTAAGATATGAAGCCTTTCTTGTATTTCATTCCGAAATAAAGAGCAGCAATCATTTCTGTGTCCATCAGGGCAAAGCAGGAAAAGCTGGAGGGAAAGGAGCCAGAGGCGTTCAGGGGGACAGAGGCCTGGAGGGACAGAATGGAGAGCCAGGGGCCCGAGGTAAGAGATGACATCACACACTGGAGAGTTTGGACGAAGGATGAACGTCTGACTTCAGAATACTTTTTCATTCTTGTGCTCAAATCACTACATCATGAAATCAACAGTTCATGAGTCCGAGACACAACCCCCCCCCCCAACTGACAACACGCCCACGCCATCTACAAACCAATCAGAGTCAAGCATAGGTAGACGCCGCCCACGTAGGTGATGACGACAGGACGAACTCAGAATCTTCTTCTTGTTCTCTCCTCCAGGTCAGAAGGGATCTAAGGGCGTCACAGGAGAGACCGGTAGAGGCCTGCAGGGACCCGACGGACCACAAGGCCTCAGAGGTACGAAGGTGTTTCATCACCCGAACTGAAGATGATTCAGCTAATGCAAAAAAATAGAGTTAAGACTTTTTCTTTAGTGATTTAACAAACACAGCAGCCGTCCGACCGTAATGAATCAGTTCTACATGTGTAATATGAAGGAATATCAGAGTCCATGAATCACTCGAGAGCACACAGCACGTTATCGTCCACGAGACAGAGACAGCATCATGGACGAGTCACAGACCATTCACGTGATGTTTTAACATATTTAAGATGTTTTTATGCCATAAATTCAGATTGTTGTTGTACTGTTTGATATTTTCATGAGGAATAATTCATGGATCTTGATTTACACATTTAGACGCCTGATATTTATCGTCTGAGCAGTTTGATTCTATTTAAGGCCGATTATTAATTTTTGGACTTTTTAAGAACCTGTGGAAACTCTTGACCTCTCTCTCCCCGAAGGTTTCCCAGGCCACCCGGCCGAGCCCAAAAATGGCCTGGAGGGGCCCCGGGGTCCTCGTGGCTTCCCTGGTTCGGTGGGCACGCCCGGCACGGTCGGAAACGCAGGCGTGCCGGGGTTCTGTGAGGCGCGGGACTGCAGCATTCATGCGCCAGTGGTGCGCAAAGAGCAGGGTCTGGTGAAAGGACCTGTCAGTTCAAAAATCTAAACCAGAGCAGATTCAAGTCTGAGCGTCACACGGCGGCAACTTCAGGATTCATCTCAATGATGTTCCAGCTGAAATGAAAGACATGAAAGAAAATATATTTTAACGTGTTTATGACAAAATATTCAAAAGCTGAGGCTGACTCTCTCATAACACTGGCTGATGCAAATGTCAGTGGGCCGAGTTTGTGACCACGAGGCACTCGGCTGAGAGGCGCTGAGCAGGAATCAAACCAGAGGAGACGTTTCCACTGGAGCTGCACAAAGCTGTAGATGTTTTATGCTTCATAAAAATATAAACTCTGATGCAGTTTCACTGGGAACTATTCAGCTGAATGTTTGTAATTTGATAAAAACAAAGAGTAAATGATCTTTGAATCTTTCCATCGGTTTAGTTTCTGTTTTCTCCGGTTCCCAAAAAAACACTATTTTTAAAAAACAAGGAAATGCAATGTAAATATTTTGTAAAGTATCTCAAACACGTGTACTGTGCTCTGACATGTTTCAGATAAACTGCCTCATGTTTTCTTTTTTAAATCTGACTCTTCAGTTTTTCGGTCGTCACATTGTTCAGACTGTCTCTGCTGTTAATTCTGAAAATGAGCCTTCAGACGAGGGTTCACCCCAAAACCCCCAGAAGAGAAGAAAGTCTGAGGATCTCGATGAGCCTGACTTCCTGGGGGGCGGATCCTTTTCTCCGTGTTCGTCTCTTACAAACACGTGTGACAACTGCACCTTCTCAAAAGTTTCCTTCTTGGTTGTTTCTGTTGGAGAAGTGAAGAGCTCACACATACCAGCAATGATAATGAAGTATGTTGGAATTAAAGTTGTGTGTTTGTTTTCTAACCTGCACTAACTAACCACAGTTTCCTGACTAATCGTCCACCACTGAGTAAAACATCTTCGTCTGTCTCTACGGTGTCCAATCGTCCTGTTTGACCGACGCTGCGCTGCTGTTGCTTGGAGCTTCAACCTCGTCCCTTGTATTTATATGGAGCTTTTCTCGTCTTGATGAACAAACAAAGCGTTTTACACCCTCGAAATAAAAATCCCTACAAAAACACACGAGCGAGAGTTGAAGGAAACAGTGATTTCTCACAGTTCAGACATTAACATCCGTCCTGAGGGATCCGATGGAAATATTTATGGCAAAATCAGTTTTTACTCCCTAATATCAACCCAGGCCGCAAAAAAACCCAAAACATATAATTTGTACTAAATCCCTCGTCAACAGTGACAGATAGATTTAATTCAATATCAGTAGAAATGCCACCAGGTGACTGAACGCCTCCGCCGACCACTGTTGTTTCAGTTCCTCCAGATGCTCATGACATTTTGTGTTCGTGAACATATGAGATCACTTTGACCTTTAAAATCTCATCAGTTCATCTTTGAGTCCGACAGACCCGAGGTTCATGTTCAAGAGGCTCGACACATGTTTTGTGAGGCCATGTGACCTCTGACCTCCCAAACCCGCCCGGTCCACCATCGTTAGTCAAAGTGAACGTTTTGACATGATTGTCGTCAGGAGTTCAGTGGATGACGACGTGTACATGACGCCCGGGTTTTTTTATTTGTTTGTACCAAACGTGAAAAACTCCCTCAGACGGTTAAATGTTGTTTTTCAAAGTGACATCACAGAATCAGTGGCGGGAGTTTCCCAACGTCAAATACCAGTTTCTCTATTTTGAACACAAACTTCCTCTTTCGGGGAAAAACCCCAGAGAAATTCCACGTGGTTTCACTTTCTGTGACGCTGGAGCTCCTCCTCATTCTGTTTAAATTCTATCACCATCGTCCAATCACAGCCTGACCACGCCCCGTTGTGAACATATAAACCCAGAGCTATGAGAAGTGTCCCCAGTCCATCTCCACTCTCCTCTTCATCACCTCCACATCCATCTTCATGATATCGTGGTCATCAGCCTCATCTTCATCATCTTCATCATGACTCCACAGCGCCTGAGCCTCCTTTGCGTCCCCCTGCTGGTGTCAGCCTGTAAGTACTGCTGTTGGTACTCATAATATATTTATTTAAGCTTTTATTACTTCTTAGTTGAAGTTATTTTAACTTGAATCCTGGAGACTTTTTCTAACTTTCACTTTCACACTGACTTATGTAAACATGACCTTAAAACTTAGTCCCCATCCTATAACTGTGTATGTAATGTGACAGAACAACACACACACACACACACACACACACACTTAGGAGAAACCTAATTTGTCTATCACCATGTTCCTCAGGTGTGCACCTCTGTGGGGGAGGGGCAGTGATGGGCACTGTGATGGAATGTGTCTCAGGAGCAGATTGTGTTGTTCAGTGCTTCGCTGAACATGTGGAGGGTGTTCAGTACCGAGCTGTGAGGTGGTACAGGGTGAGTACACAACCCTTCATACATGGACGGATGGATGGACAGACTACAGACAGATGGATGGATAGATGGATGATAGATAGATGATAGATGATAGATAGATGGATAGATAGATGGATGGATAGATGGATAGATAGATAGATAGATGGACAGACTACAGACAGATGGATGGATAGATGATAGATAGATGATAGATAGATAGATGGATAGATAGATAGATGGACAGACTACAGACAGATAGATAGATAGATGGACAGAC